TAATTACTAATTACTAAAAATAATATAATAATTTCTAAAATCTAAATACTTAGATCTAAATAACATATTAATATTTATTTTGTTGATCTGGTATTGTTGAAGTGCACGTGGCCTAAAAATAAAATCTAACATGATCGACTCTGAAATCGTCCGCGATCGACCGTTTGGCCGTCCCTGTTATAGATGATATTCATCGTCTGTGATCAATATTTCTTAATCGATTCATTCGACTACACAATACGCTGCTTCTAGTAAATAAATATACGCGGCTCATCAAATAATATTGTAATGATTATGTGATACTGTGAACTCGTTATTGAAAATGCGATGAACATTGAATACTATCTGCAATTACGTACGTTGCACTACAATAACCCTCGTAATAATATTTTAGTTAAACTTTATGTGTAGATTTTCTCAAAGGGAAAAGATGCGGTGAGACGTGAGCGCGTGTGTTCCGGTGCGTTGTACATGTTAATTTAATGCACGTGTACGACAATAATTCTGAACAGCATTCAGCGTACGATAAATATTTCTAAAAACGTTGTCGATATGGAATTGTTTTAATAGTACCCCGAAAATATAATGAATTTCCACAACGATTTAACGACGGGAGTATGGTAAATAAATGGGCGATAGACAACAAAGGATAACAGGACGGAAAGGAAAACAGATAAAAGACAAATTTATTGCTCTGTTGATTAAAATCAATTACTTATGTAATATGAATATCGAGGAGACAGCGGACCGAGGGGTTATTATATGGCAGATACAGCGTGTACATAACTCAAAATAAAATACGGTTGGAACTAATATATTATAATGACCTAAAATAAAAAAATAAAGTCTGTAAATGAGTTGCACTAGATCTTTACGCGCCGAGACTATAATAACGAAACGTCGATATACGAAAATTAAAACTACGTTCATTTCTATAAATCGTCTGACGAAAATGATTGACGAGTGCCTACGTTCATTCCTATAAATTTCCTTCGTCTTCGTTATTTTATTAGCACCATTAGAGATCTATGTTCACGATTCATTTAATATTGAAAAGGTTTTCATAATTAATACTACTTATCTGTATCAATTTTGTTCATGTCTATATAACTCAATATTATCGTCTTTGTGCTAACATTCAATATTAACGTGCTTTCGTTTCTCCTCTACCGTTCAAAAATTACAATCAAATCGTCCGCGTTTCTAGTTCGTTCATAAATTTAACATACAACATTAAAATGATTCCATAGGGTCCATTAAATCGGCATAGTAATTTTTTCTTTACGTTTAATCATAATAATGATATCTTTACACATTTGTAAATCTTGCATTATTTATCAACCGTTCGATACCGTTATCATTTATTATTATATATTTCAAAGTTTTTGATCATGAATACATGTTTATTTTATTTTTATTTTTGTAGTGTTGAATTCCGTTATTTTTCCCAGTCGTTTTCTTTTTATCGGACAATTAACATCGTAACGATCGTCGATCTACCTTCGATACTTAACCTAACCATAAGACTGCGTAAACGTCTTGAATGTTTATCAAAGATTCTAAAAAAAAAAAAAATACATCAACTATAATATCGACCCACTGGACAATATGAGCAGCAGCGGCAGGATGTTAACGAAGACACCGGGAACATTTGCATTTTATAACATCAAAGAGAATGGCCCGTTATAAATAAATAACGGGGTAAACCGCACTCACACACATACACTATGTTTTAATATCGCCGCCGGGCAAAGTTTTAAAAGTTATGCGTTTCATTAAATTTGACTGTGGACCGACCGCCGGCTGCTGTTTACTACCCCTCAGAATCAAAATGAAGCAGCCGCATCGCTTCGTTATTCGAAGTTAAAAAAAATTACAACAATAGCAATAGTAATAGTAGTTATAGTAATAATGATAGTAATAATAATTATAATAATAATAATAATAATAAAAATAATAATAATCAACTTTGGAAAGAGCTACGGCGTGACCTAACATCGTAATCATAATAATATACCCTAGTATGGCGCGTGTCTGTACTGAGACCTTATACTTATACCTCCACTATTACTGTTCACCCATTCACCTTCCGAAGCACCCGAGAATAATAATATACGTTTCTATCGTTTTTCGTCGAAGAAAAAAAAACCGCATTCGCTTCAAGAGGATTTTGTAGTAAACCAACGTTTTGTGAAGTACCTTATGTAAATCGTATTTTTTTTACTAATGAACTAAGTGAAAATATGATTTCCTCCCTTTACTATGCGCATATACCTGCTACACGTTTGTCGAACACTTTGGTTATTGGTTTACTGATAACATATAATCGTCTCTGGACCTTAATTTTAATATTCTTGTTACATAACGCATGAGAATTAAAACGGATACATTTCAGTGGACGCAAAAATAATGGAAAAACTTACGAGTGATCGTATAATAATACGAACCACGACATGCAACGGTTTGTGTGTATAATAATAATGTATTTTTATAAAAAATCAAATACCTGTACCGATTGCGTCATGAGTTCGGATAGAATCTAGATTGAACACATGGAAAAACAAATCAGACGGTGGCAGGTGGTGTAAGGGCTATTGCATAGCTGACGCCGAGTATATGGGATAAGGTAAAGGAGATGATGAAAAGCAACCCAACAATTGAGCTTAAGTGCAACGGAAATAGGAACATTTCTACGAAACACCTTTAATGGACTCTTATAAAGTCCTATAAATTGAGGAAGAGTTATAAATCAGTAAGTTAGGTAACGCAATTTATTCCAACTAAATTAGAAGTTTCTCGACGATGATATCCTTGCGATTTTAAAGGGTTAATTTAGAAACGTATACATTCAATTCACTCCACGTTTAAAGAAGAGTTTGAGCAGCACTTCAAAAAAATGTAATCGGTTTTTTTCTCGGCTTGTTACAATTTATGAACACAAATAGCGAATAATAAGTAAAATCTCATTTCTCTACAACCCCTTCTACACCCTTCTATCCTTTTCCCCGATCTCACATCCACCTTATTCGTCCAACTAAAAGACAGTAGTTCACTTTCTTTTTTTATTCGTCTTCCCTCTTTTTTTAACGAGTGCTCATTAAAATTCTTCAAGAAGACATTAAGATCGTTGATTAATGAGTGTTTTATAATAATAAATTGGTGGAGGTCAAAGCAATTGCAAGTTTCTGTTCTGTTCAATCGTAAATGGGGCAACAAGAATTTATAATTAATTAATCTCGTTAAGACAAAGTTCGAAAAAAACAAAAACGAATTATTGGTTTTTACAAGTATTTTAGTTATTATTCTGAATACCTTGAAATATATAATGTTGTCATTTCAACTTAAATATCGAAAGTAAAAGTAGTATTGATGTTTACATTAAAAAAAAAGTGGAAAAAACGCTCTGGAAATACAAGTTATAACAGAGTATATATTATAGCTACAAGCATATATTTTAACAGTTTGTTTTATTTTAAAACAGTATTTTAATGGGATTTCTAGAAGTTTAATAACATTATGCATGGGGTTATAATAATATTATATATGCCAGAAATGTGTTAATGTGTTTGATTGAATTCCTTGAAGTATTTCAAAAATGTTGGAAAAACTATGCAAATCAATATATAGTTGATACAGGAGAAAAAACCTTCATTCCGATTAGAAATTCCATTTTTAATTATGAACGTTAAACAGAATATGAAAATCGAATATTATAAGAATAAATATAAATATTTTACTTTGTCTATATAGGTGTATAGTGTGCTTTCATCAGGAAAATTGTTCGTGAGTAAAAATCGATTTTATTGACAACACAGTGATTTTTAAAATACACGTAGAATTACGCAAATTTTCTTGAGTATTTCGTATTAAACCAATTTAATAAAAATATTATTTTATCTATATATATTTTTAATTATGTTATCTTTCTAAATATATATTTGCTCACTATACAGAAGACAGCATAACACTGCGGTGACAAATTCAATGAGCAATCATAAATTTATTATTACATTTTGACCATGCTGAAGATGCACAAGCATGGGTGTGTGTGTGTGTGTATGTGTATGACAGATAATAATCTGGAATGTTACACGTGTCACATATATGTAAAACTCGCGTAAAAAAAATAAAATATGCTATGCCGTTATTTATTTAATAAAGATCATTCTTTTTTTTATTCTTTTTTTTTTTACTGAAATGAAAAACATCATCCAATCGGCTTTTTTTAACGAACATATATTACTGTCACATGGCATTATTCGAGAACGTTGCTCTTCACTGAGGTTACGTTTTCTATTGGGAAACTACCATTCAGATAAAAAGTTGAAATTCACAACCGATTTGATAACTGCATTCGACTCGTACTGGTAATAATAGTATTTTTCTCATCGGTAACTATGAAACGTAATATAACAATATTCAATAAGACGTACAACTGTATTTATTATTTAAAAAAAAACGATCAAATTTTATGGGGCAGATTCGCGGTTAAAACTGTTGGTCAGGCTATTTGATGAAGTTACGTTATTTCACGTAATTAAGGATGAAAGTGGATTATAAATGTACACCTTAAAAAAAAAACAGAATATAATCATATAATATTTAAGTATATTCATAGTTATAATAGAAAACATTAATATTTATTTTACTTTATGGACACTTCCGTCTTATATGGGGTTATAGATACTTCACTATACTATGAAATTAAACAAGTTATTCGCAGGATAGCAACGGGGGCATTTGCATTAGTCTGGTATTAACTTCAATCTATACTTGGCAAACTTAGAGAATATAAGAAATCTTCAAGAGGTCAATTTTGTCAAAAAATATCAACTGTGAGTCAGCTGACCACCTGGACCCCCCTAGATTCTCTCCTGAGTTGTTACTTAAAAAATATAAATCTTAGTCATTGACGCTTTTGCGCTTTGTTATCCTCCGATGCACGTCACCATATACTTGACAACTGTAATAATTGGATATTACAAATGCGTGTGTTCTAGACCTGCGGGAAAGTGTTCGGGAACGCGTCTGCTCTGGCCAAACATAAATTGACACACAGCGACGAACGGAAGTATGTGTGCAATGTTTGCAGCAAGGCTTTCAAAAGACAAGACCACTTGTAAGTAATTATATCCTTCTTTTATTTCTTTTCTCCACACGATTAAACGAGAGAAACAAATGAACAGTTAAATCACGTTTAACCGACGTACACATTATTCTACGTCATGTTTATAATATTGTGCACTTAACCGAATGCGTGTGCACACACGTAGTGATGTCTTAACCGTGGCCATTGAGGAGGTACGGGCCCTGTTACGTTACAATTGTTACGAGCATAGATCACACATAACTGTTTCACGTGTTTTTCTTTTTATGTGCTAATATTCTTCATACCACCACTGCACGTACAATGCTCGATAATCATTTCAAATCGTACTATTAATAGTTTACCTCCGAGAAACGGAGAAACGGCCGCGGCGGTCGTAGCCCAACAATAATTTATGTTCGCATAGAAACTTTTTTTTCACATTTATTATGACCTTTTCTCCCCATTGGACCCGCAAGAGCACCCGTTCGTACGTCACCTCCCCTACCCCCTGGTCTACAATTTCCGCTTGCCCTGCGTGGAGAGCCAACTTACATCGACGGGTATCGGTTTTCATTACGCCGGGAAATTGAAAACGTAACCCCCGGGATATAAGTATAACCGCACCGACATTATTGCCTAAGTACTCGCACTTATATATAAACATGTGTACGCGCATATGATATATTATTACGTAAATGGCGTTTTCCTCCCGTCCGCCGCGCGGCGCCCAAGCTGTTTACGTAATATGCGCGCATGCATAAATTACGCGGGGGCACGGGGGCTTTTCGTCGGTGCCAATAATAAAAGGTATTTATTGCGAGATAAACTCGCGTGTAAGAAACCCCGCAGAGGCCGCGCTAGGGTTTTTTTCCTCCTAAATATAAAAACGTATTCCGGTCACATACGCTACGGAAAAACGGGTCAGCCGGTACGTGAATAATCGAATGGCCGACGACAACCCGACTGGTGTGGTGACGGAGAGACGGTTCGGGGAAATAACGTCGTTTTCGGTTACGCATACGTGCGCCCGCGCGCCATATACTGTACACGTGGAAACGGGGAAAAATTAAAATCGGATGAGATGACCCCCGGGGCTATGCGTTATGCGTACGACACGCGGTGTGTGCGCAGGATATATCGGCGTTGAGAATATCTTTTCATCGCACACCCGGTGCTGTCCACGTTTGATGGAACGATTTTAACCTTTAAACGCCTAAATGCCAACTATATATATGTATACGTATTTGTATACGTGAAACACGTAAATCTAATGCAATGTTTCTCTTATTTTAGAATAAGATCCTTTGGCATTTACCTTCGATTCACACTACCTCCTCACCCCCATCACCGCATACTGGCGTCGTGTAGTTCGTAATGTAGGTCAAACATCGGAAAATGGACTTCATTTAAATTCAAATAAACAACAACGTTTTTTTTCGAGTCCGGTAGAAATATGTTTCCAACTTCAATCTTTTACTCTCCTTAAATATTTAAATAATTTTTAACTCGACAAAATTCCTCGCAATTTAACTCGAAGAAAACTAATACTTTGTGCTCGTTAAAAATAGACTACCGACTAAATGAGCATTCTAATTTAAATTAAATTCATGTTAAACTTATACCGTTCGCAGTTAAATAAATCGTTGCTTTAAGATTATAATAGTTTTTATTTTTTCAATCTATTTTAAAGATTAACGTTAATATAGCTAAATTTAATAAAATCATCTGCCTCTTTTTTCCTGTGTATAATGTTGATACCTATATTGTTTTTTTTGTATGGTAACCAAAAATAATAACAAACATATAAATTAAACCTATTGAAATAGTTATAATATATTTATATAGATTTTTAATGACAAAAGTTTTTAACATAAACTTTAATTTTAAACAATCCAACGCATCCATAACTAAAATATTGTAATTAAATACTCATTTATACATAGTTCAAATGTTAACATTAAGTATATTAAGTACATTCTACAGAACGTACAGCTACTCTAAACTTAAATATTTAGTATATAATGCTAAAACGTATTAAATCTTTAATAATCATTAATTTTCATAAACTTCAAAAATACATATTTACTATCAAATTTAAACGTGTATAGCGCAATGATGATGATTATTTAAATTTAATATATTAATTAAAGTCTAGACTATTATTTATGTACTTTTCAGACAAACATTTTCAAAATTAAATTTTGCAATCAAATAAATAAATGAAAAATATCATTTTACGCAATATCATGATGACACTATTATTAAATTATCATACGAATAAATATAATTTTTATAAAAAAAATGTATGTAGTAAAATATTCAAAAATATGCATATTTCCTGAGCTTAACAACGTAACAGATTTTAATAAATTACAACATTGAAATTACAACTATAAATTATTATAATAAATCATATTTTGATTAATGTTTGATTTTTATAGTAAGATTTAAAATTCTTAAATATCATAGGATTATGATTGACTTTAATTTTACAATTTCAAAATATTGTGAAAATAAAAATTTCATCTTGTATAATTTTGAATTTCGGGAATCGGTCTGAAGAGGGAAACAATAATGTCGCTAGAGAACACTTAGATTTCCCGAGTTCGGAGTTACTCACGAAATGTGTATCACGAAATTGGTCATCTCATCATATCGGGAGAACAGCTCGGCAGAAATAACAATTTCGTCCCCTCTAACTCGATAATATTTTAAACGAGCCCTATCGTCAGAACTGAGAAATCCCAAAGGGTACACCCTTCTTACCTGCCTCCATCCGAGATAAATGGTAGTCAAAATTGGTTTCTCAATAGCCAAGATGATCGGCCGACGGGGATAGACTCGCAAGCCTTTCGGACGGTCTCCGATCTCTGACCGATTTATATCCCCACATGACCCAATCGATTATCAATGATTTAGTTTTTGGTATTTTATTTTTCTGCAAAGGAAAAAAGTAGAGAGAGAGAGAAAGAGAGATGGTGAAAAGAGAAGATTATGGGAAGGGAAACGGATGGAAAAAGAGAACGAAAACACTCGACGGCCAGGTATGAAGAACAGAATCCCTTTTCTCCTCCGCCCGATACGCGCGCGCATTCACTCGCACCCGGTCGGGTCGTATATCAGCCGAAGGGAAAAACGGAGCAATAATTTCGGCGCTGTAATACAGCTATAAATCTATTAACGCTGCACCACGCCTCTGCCCGTGTTCACCGAGAGCCTTCATCCCTCGTCCCGCGCATCTCGTCTAAAGTGTTCCCGTAGAAAACGACGAGAGAACTTTATCCGGATTGTTCTTTGAACAATAGTCGTTAGCATTTCCGACCATGCTCGAGTTTTGGCGATTCTGTAATAATACGCCGAATCCCACTCCGCATTCGTTCCCAACGTTCACACGATGAAAAAAAAAAAACAGGAATAAAAACGCGTATAGCACCGCAGAGAAAACGCTAGTACGTTCCATCCTCGCAAGGATGTACGGACGCGGAAAACTCGTACAATCAGAAGGAAATAAAACCATTACTGTCCCGCCATACGGGGTGCGGTGTGGATAAATGTAAAAAAAAGCGAACATTTTCCTGCGACCATAGAAAAAAAATAAAAATAAACAAATAAAAGGCATTTCTAAATTTTAATAATTAAAACCCTAATTATTAGTAAAAAGAAATAAAATAGTAATACCACTACGTATATTATAAAAGCTGTCAATTTTATTAATTTATTAATTATTTTTCTTTTATTTAGTTATCCTCATTTTATTTATTATTTTATTATAAATTTATTTTATGAATTATTATAGAACTATATATATACTAACTATATTTATGTTATAACTATATATATATATATATATATATATATATACATATTTATTAGATATAATACGGTAAAATTAGTAAATTTGACAACGTTGCATACAATTCCATAGGCAATCGTGTTTATTTATTTTTCTTACCCACCTTTTTGTTACCCATATACAAACATACGCAATCATGTTGCCAAAAAAGACAAATGTACGCAATCGTGTTCTACCCTTTCCCTATGCGCACTTGGCATTACAAGTATTTATCATAACGATCGTTGGTGCGAAGATATAAGTAACACCAGATCAAGTATTCGTAACCGAACAGAAAACAATCGGAACGATTTTTTTTAACCATTTATAAAAACGTAATCGAAATCGTGATTTGCATTTCGTACCGTGGACGGGATAAATAATGTGGTAACTAGAAAAGGGTTTTAACTAAATGTATTCTATTCTAACTCGCAGTCATCATTTTTGATTTGACGACGACCATTCGTAAAAAAAAAAGCTGTTTTCGATCATTTCTCCACGAGCAAGAAGTAACCACAAAATGCTCATGGAAAGCCTAGGGAGGACGTGGCGTGTTGGACGGGTGACCATCAGAGTGTTTAAACGGTTCGACTCGTACACATAAAGTGAACGTCGCAAGAGAAACGCAAATCGTCCAGGACGCGCGTTACTTCCCGGACAGCGGAAATACTCCTAACCCGACCGGTGCTATACGTGCGGTACTAGAACTTGAGCCCACTGGTGTCTGTCCACAGGAACGGGCACATGCTGACGCACCGGCACAAAAAGCCGTTCGAGTGCAAGGCGAACGGATGCGGCAAGTCGTACTGCGACGCGCGGTCATTGCGCCGGCACACGGAGAACCATCACCACCACCGGCCGTCGTCCAACCAGGGCTCGCCGCCCGCATCGCCGTCCTCGTCCACCAGCTCCGGTTGTATACAGTACGCGCCCGCGCCCATGCCGTCGCCGCCTGCCCCGACCGCTTCGGCCACGACCACGTCTACCACGACGGCCGGGACATCCGCGGCCAGCGGCGGAGGAACCGCGCAACACGACACGGCCACGCCCAGCCAGCTGCAGAAACTTCTCAGCGCCGAACCGTTATCGTCCACCGTGGCCGCGCTTCCATCAAAGGTGAGTGATGCCGCTCGATAACATTACACATACTTCCGTAGGGTCCCCGTATCTAAATCACCATATATTTAATTAATATTATTTCACACTGGGAGGGAAGAGAAAAAGTAATCTTAGGTTAAGTAAGATTCGAAACACTTGACCCAACCGATCCTGACGTCCAAACCGTTGACCCTTTGATCCATCACGCACGCGGGCACGAACACTGCATACGAACGTCCAAAGTTTCAAGTAAAATGTAACACGCACGCGTCTATTGTGATGTGTCGCACTCGGATGAAAATCATTACAGTTTTTACGCATTGAAAACCGTAGTTTCTACCCCATCCCACACCCTCACTCCCATGCGCCCATCGGTTTCAACGAACCCAACCCGTGTGTGACGGGGCGGTTTTGAACGACGTCGGTCGTTGTGTCGTTAACCGAAATAATTGAATAATAATAACGTGCGCGCACACTTCAGCACACGTTTAACAGTGATCAATAACCAAAACGCACCCATTTTATCGTTCAAAATATCGTCATAAACGTAGTGTAATATATTGTTCGCCCGGGCCAAATAAATTTGTCTTTAACCGAACGTTACATTTTTATCGAAATTCCGTTGTGCTCACCCGCTGCTCTCAATCATTTCGATATTATTCTCCCCTCCGCAGCCGATACCCGTAAAACGCGATTTGCGAAATACCGTCGGCTTTGCAGATTTATCGGTTTCTTAATCGATAGCATTCCTGCACGGTACATTATATTATGATATACATAATATGATCGTACCGGGCGGACGGGCAAGATTGTGTTACACGACCGGCGCAATGTAAACACGAATTATTACGGGTCGCCAATCGAATGATCGTAATTTATGTAGATGTAACGTAATTTTGCATTCACTGAATATTAAGCCAATGAATAGATAAAATTACACGAATCGTAATAATACTTGTTTCGTACGCGTAGTATAAAACAACTAATATCGATAAGTAGACGAAAAATACGCGAAAAGTATTGCGCTGATCACAACGTTGTTTGTGTGGCTCGCACGTTTCACACCATTTAGAAAGCGTCCATGTCCTCGTATAATACCATAAATAACCGGCATCGTCGTAAATCGTCTGAATTATCGGTAGTTTCCACCAACGTTTCCAGAACTCAACGGTTGGCATTATATTTTCTGTTAACGCTCTCGACCAGTCCCTCTTCAATTGTAACATGGATATTTTAAACTATAAGCTCATTTTCAAGAATATTCGATTGTTAATTTCGAAAGACGTTCGGAAACGGTTATGTAATCAAATGGAAATAGGTAATAATAAGCGACCTCACAACCCATGCAGCAATAGCTCATAAACTACGCGTGTGATTCCATTACCTGCGTACTGTAATAGTATTGACACAAAGAACCTTTACAACGTTCTTGAATTAATTACATCGTCTTAAACATGTCGACGGTAAATTAATACTTATTAGAAATTACATTCATCGTTTTTATGTAGGTTTCATCTCACAACCGTCGTGTGTGCTACATGAACGATTTGTGTACACTTTATATAGATGTTTTATGGTGAAAACAGAAATTGTTTTTATTTATTTATTTTTGGATTGAAAAAATGTAATATAATCATGGCTCATATTTGTTAAAAAAATATAATAAAAATAAAACTTATTCTTTAAGTTATACATTTTCTATAAACTTGTTTTTAACCTAAAAATAGGAATTCAAATTGTAATATTACTACAAGAACTAAGCATTAGTATATATAAATATACTAAAAACTATATAATGAAAACAATATATTCATTTATAATTAATAACGAATAAAATAATACTTAAGACTTGTTTAATTTCCAACATTTATCATCACAGACGAATATATGTATTGTAATATCAAAATGTGCAAATTACAACTTTACTTTGCTTAAATATTTTATTTGATCCTGATAAACATTAAATATTTATTATATTTTTTTTTTTTTTGGTGTAATATGAAAGTAAAAAAATGTTATTCATTTATTTTTGAATAAATTTACTTTACTCGACGTATTTCGTTCACATTTCAAATGTCAATAATTTTTTTTTTTTTTTAATTAACTAAAATAAACAAAATCTTAATACATTAATTTCGTTTTTACATTACATTTGTAATGTGCCTTTAAACGAAAATATCAGAGTATATTAATGAACATAATTAACTCTTTTGATAGTATTATGCGATAAAAAGATTAGTAAAAAAGTTTAAAATGTAATTTTAGATTTCACAGTGTTCTGAAATTCGATCAATCCGTCTATTTTATGAAATTATATTACCGATGTCGAGTTTTATATCAAATAATAATATTTATTTAATAACATTGTAAAATTCAAATCATTATAAAACATTTTTTGTGATCAATCGTTTAAACCAATATTCACAAACAACAAATTCTACGTTATATAAATAATAATCAAAGTAAATGTACCGATCCTAATTTACAAACATTTTTTTTTTAAATTGTTTAAAAATAAATGCGTTTATTTCGAATGGAATAGGTACATTTAAAATAAGCCCAGTTAAGTTAATATGCAAACCTATCGATATCTGATTATTAAATAAGAGCCCATTCGTTTGCAAATCGTATTTTACAAATTATCAATATTTAATCCTTTTACACACATTTTTCAAAACGTAAACGTTACAAATACATACAAGTGTAATCGAATGATTTTGGTGTGAGCAATGAAATACTGCAGTCGTTTATGCGCACATCTACTACGATCATAGTCGACTAGGTTGATGCATTCAGTGGTGTACATACAGGGGGGGGAGGTCCAGGTTCAAACCCCCCAGGGCCAAAAAAAAAAGAAAATTGTTTTATTATTGATGACGTGTAATATATTTGTAGTTTCATTATTACGCTTTGAACTTAAAATATACAACTATATAAATATTATGATAATTAAATAATTATATTGATAGGCGCAAACATGTTTGAAAACTTTTGTTAATTATGCTGTTTTTATATTCCACTAATGATTATTTTTGCTCCCCCCCCCCCCCCCCCCGAGCAAGATTGAATGTACGTCACTGGATGCATTCATACCTATATAAACAGCCCATTAGGTGTTACGATAGATAAACACATGTTGTAATCTCAGGTAAGTAATACGTGAGGAGATGTGGAATAAATGTTTTTTCTTTTTTCGATTAATATCCACTATTATTCCACTGTGCCCATTATTTAAAAGTATATATAGAGGAAAAAAAGTGAAAACCAAAGGTCCTTATCTAAAGTTTTGATCAAAGTTGAGACATACCCCTAGACCTAAATCACCAGTGAGATACATGACCGAGTGCTGATGTATATGAGGCACGAGGGGTAAAAGACGAAACGCACGCGCACGAGTGAGAGAGACAAGTATTGCCGAACAGAAATACGTTGAAAAACTTCTTCGGCTAATGTTCTTTTTCTCTTTTTGTCACATAGCTAATGGTTTGTTTTTTATTTTTATTTTTTTTTTTTTGGATCTTATACCAGAACCCTTATTTTTTTACGCTCGCGATCCATTTTACTTGGAAGTTTGCCCTATTTTTATTTCAATGCGGGGTTGTTGTTGTTTCTTTCTCATTTATTATTTATGCGGGCGAAATAAACAGAAATAGAGCAAAACGTTGGTCAAATACTAGTCATAATGTTCATTCCTACCAAGTATGTAGTTACTTAAAATACTACTTACAACCACCTTTTATTATTCATCACGAGTACATGTTTAACGATATTGCTGAAAAAATCCATCGATCTCCTTTCGTATTTTCGCAAAGTTTTTATTGATGTATTTAAGTCACTTTATACCTCAAAAATAATTAAATTATTAATATTATCACTGCAACAATCAAGAATATAAAAATATAATTCAGAAACCCCGGAATCTTCTAATTACAAAAAATCAATAATGATATAATGTTGTACATTTGCAGCATTGTCGATAACACGTATTTAAATAATAATGAATGGTTATTACATATTTTGAATAACTTTTAATAACCATAATATACATGATATGAATAGTGATTTTTTTATAGAATACGGTGATCGCATACTATTAAAATCTTGAGGTCGAAAAATAACTCTCAGATTTGTTAAAATAACAACAACGGTTATATATGATGATGGCTACAACTCGTTTGCTCACATTTACCTTTTTCATAACTTGTTTGCCCAAAAATGCATAACTCGATTACGCACATATATTTTGGCTACCTGTGACGAAAATCCCTAGTGTCAGAACTCGTTAACTTACTATCGCTTATTAATCGCTTATTATCGTTGATTATTATACTCCTCATGATTATGAGAGTTGGTTACTTTTATTATTTTGTTTTATTTATTAACAATAACAGTCGCAGGACATTTTTTATTAGTGCATCTAAAATTTGATCATCCACTCATTAAAACACAGTATTCACTAAATTTATAATTATCAATATTAAATCATCGCTTTCCTCGCCGAGATTCAAAAATATTAGAAATTTCTACGCCATATTAAAGTTTACATCGTCAACACACTAGTCACCACTGTATCGTCCATATCCATGGTCCATACCTACTGAAACTTTACTAAAATTTATTTGAAAAATCCAAATTTATATAATCTACAGTCTACATAGTCGATTAAAAGATAATATTAAGATGATAATTTGTACTGCAGTCTGTGACGATATACACGTGTCATGTGTATGAATGTGTCATGCGCAAACGAGTTATCTATTTTCAGGTAAAAATGTTGAATGTGCGCAAACGAGTTGCAACGTATGATGAGATATGTTAAATATTTGTTCAAATACGAATGAATGCCTGTTATTTTTATTGTTAGATCAAACACGCCGTGACATGTTCTTAAATTAAGGTTTCACCAAAATCTTGGAATTTAACTGTTCGGAATGGTAATTAATTGCGAAAATAAAAACCCAGAAGTAAGAAACTTCAAGTGCTATTAAAAACACGAAAATACAACTTTATTATTATAA